GCAAGGTTTGATGTTATTATAAGCAGTTCAGTGTAAGGTTTGATGTTATTACAAGTAGTTCAGTGCAACGTCTGATGTTATTACAAGCAGCTCAGTGTAAGGTTTGATGTTATTACAAGCAGTTCAGTGTAAGGTTTGATGTTATTACAAGCAGTTCAGTGTAAGGTTTGATGTTATTACAAGCAGTTCAGTGCAAGGTCTGATGTTATTACAAGCAGTTCAGAGCAAGGTTTGATGTTATTACAAGCAGTTCAGTGCAAGGTTTGATGTTATTATAAGCAGTTCAGTGTAAGGTTTGATGTTATTACAAGTAGCTCAGTGCAAGGTTTGATGTTATTATAAGCAGTTCAGTGTAAGGTTTGATGTTATTATAAGTAGTTCAGTGCAACGTCTGATGTTATTACAAGCAGCTCAGTGTAAGGTTTGATGTTATTACAAGCAGTTCAGTGTAAGGTTTGTTGTTATTACAAGCAGTTCAGTGTAAGGTTTGATGTTATTACAAGCAGTTCAGTGTAAGGTTTGATGTTATTACAAGCAGTTCAGTGTAAGGTTTGATGTTATTACAAGCAGTTCAGTGTAAGGTTTGATGTTATTACAAGCAGTTCAGTGTAAGGTTTGATGTTATTACAAGCAGTTCAGTGCAAGGTTTGATGTTATTACAAGCAGTTCAGTGTAAGGTTTGATGTTATTACAAGCAGTTCAGTGTAAGGTTTGATGTTATTACAAGCAGTTCAGTGCAAGGTTTGATGTTATTACAAGCAGTTCAGTGCAAGGTCTGATGTTATTACAAGCAGTTCAGTGCAAGGTTTGATGTTATTACAAGCAGTTCAGTGCAAGGTTTGATGTTATTATAAGCAATTCAGTGTAAGGTTTGATGTTATTACAAGTAGCTCAGTGCAAGGTTTGATGTTATTATAAGCAGTTCAGTGTAAGGTTTGATGTTATTATAAGTAGTTCAGTGCAACGTCTGATGTTATTACAAGCAGCTCATTGTTAGGTTTGATGTTATTACAAGCAGTTCAGTGTAAGGTTTGTTGTTATTACAAGCAGTTCAGTGTAAGGTTTGATGTTATTACAAGCAGTTCAGTGTAAGGTTTGATGTTATTACAAGCAGCTCAGTGTAAGGTTTGATGTTATTATAAGCAGTTCAGTGTAAGGTTTGATGTTATTACAAGCAGTTCAGTGTAAGGTTTGATGTTATTACAAGCAGTTCAGTGTAAGGTTTGATGTTATTACAAGTAGCTCAGTGCAAGGTTTGATGTTATTATAAGCAGTTCAGTGTAAGGTTTGATGTTATTATAAGTAGTTCAGTGCAAGGTTTGATGTTATTACAAGCACTTCAGTGCAAGGTTTGATGTTATAACAAGCAGTTCAGTGTAAGGTTTGATGTTATTACAAGCAGTTCAGTGTAAGGTTTGATGTTATTACAAGCAGTTCAGTGTAAGGTTTGATGTTATTACAAGCAGTTCAGTGAAAGGTTTGATGTTATTACAAGCAGTTCAGTGAAAGGTTTGATGTTATTACAAGCAGTTCAGTGTAAGGTTTGATGTTATTACAAGCAGTTCAGTGTAAGGTTTGATGTTATTACAAGCAGTTCAGTGTAAGGTTTGATGTTATTACAAGCAGTTCAGTGTAAGGTTTGATGTTATTACAAGCAGTTCAGTGTAAGGTTTGATGTTATTACAAGCAGTTCAGTGTAAGGTTTGATGTTATTACAAGCAGTTCAGTGCAAGGTTTGATGTTATTACAAGCACTTCAGTGTAAGGTTTGATGTTATTACAAGCAGTTCAGTGTAAGGTTTGATGTTATTACAAGCAGTTCAGTGCAAGGTTTGATGTTATTTTAAGCAGTTCAGTGTAAGGTTTGATGTTATTACAAGTAGCTCAGTGCAAGGTTTGATGTTATTACAAGCAGTTCAGTGAAAGGTTTGATGTTATTACAAGCAGTTCAGTGCAAGGTTTGATGTTATTACAAGCAGTTCAGTGAAAGGTTTGATGTTATTACAAGCAGTTCAGTGTAAGGTTTGATGTTATTACGAGTAGTTCAGTGTAAGGTTTGATGTTATTATTAGCAGTTCAGTGTAAGGTTTGATGTTATTATAAGCACTTCAGTGTAAGGTTTGATGTTAATACATGCAGTTCAGCGTAAGGTTTGATGTTATTTTAAGTAGCTCAGTGTAAGGTTTGATGTTATTACAAGCCCTTCAGTGCAAGGTCTGATGTTATTACAAGCAGTTCAGTGTAAGGTATGATGTTATTACAAGCAGTTCAGTGTAAGGTTTGATGTTATTATAAGCAGTTCAGTGTAAGGTTTGATGTTAATTCAAGCAGTTCAGTGTAAGGTTTGATGTTATTATGAGTAGCTCAGTGTAAGGTTTGATGTTATTAAAAGCAGTTCAGTTTAAGGTCTGATGTAATTACAAGTAGCTCAGTGTAAGGTTTGATGTTATTACAAGCAGTTCAGTGAAAGGTTTGATGTCATTACAAGCAGTTCAGTGTAAGGTTTGATGTTATTACAAGTAGTTCAGTGTAAGGTTTAATGTTATTACAAGCAGTTCAGCGTAAGGTTTGATGTCATTACAAGCAGTTCAGTGCAAGGTTTGATGTTATTAAAAACAGTTCAGTGTAAGGTTTTTATGTTATTATGAGAAGCTCAGTGTAAGGTTTGATGTTATTACAAGCAGTTCAGTGTAAGGTTTGATGTTATTATAAGCAGTTCAGTGTAAGGTTTGATGTTAATACAAGCAGTTCAGTGTAAGGTTTGATGTTATTATGAGTAGCTCAGTGTAAGGTTTGATGTTATTAAAAGCAGTTCAGTTTAAGGTCTGATGTTATTACAAGTAGCTTAGTGTAAGGTTTGATGTTATTACAAGCAGTTCAGTGAAAGGTTTGATGTCATTACAAGCAGTTCAGGATAAGGTTTGATGTTATTACAAGTAGTTCAGTGTAAGGTTTAATGTTATTACAAGCAGTTCAGCGTAAGGTTTGATGTTATTACAAGCAGTTCAGTGTAAGGTTTGATATTATTACAAGCAGTTCAGTGTCAGGTTTGATGCTATTACAAGTAGTTCAGTGTAAGGTTTGATGTTATTACAAGCAGTCCAGTGTAAGGTTTGATGTTATTATAAGCAGTTCAGTGTAAGGTTCTGACGTTGTTACATTACCTCAGTGTAAGGTTTGATGTTATTACAAGTAGTTCAGTGTAAGGTTTGATGTTATTACAAGCACTTCAATGCAAGGTCTGATGTTATTACAAGCAGTTCAGTGTAAGGTCTGATGTTATTACAAGCAGTTCAGTGTAAGGTTTGATGTTATTATAAGCAGTTCAGTGTAAGGTTTGATGTTATTACGAGTAGTTCAGTGTAAGGTTTGATGTTATTACAAGCAGTTCAGTGTAAGGTCTGATGTTATTACAAGCACTTCAGTGTAAGGTTTGATGTTATTATAAGCAGTTCAGTGTAAGGTTTGATGTTATTACGAGTAGTTCAGTGTAAGGTTTGATGTTATTATTAGCAGTTCAGTGCAAGGTTTGATGTTATTACAAGTAGTTCAGTGTAAGGTTTGATGTTATTATTAGCAGTTAAGTGCAAGGTTTGATGTTATTATAAGTAGTTCAGTGCAAGGTCTGATGTTATTACGAGCAGTTCAGTGTAGGGTTTGATGTTATTACAAGCAGTTCCGTGTAAGGTTTGATGTTATTACGAGCAGTTCAGTGTAAGGTCTGATGTTGTTACGAGCAGTTCAGTGTAAGGTTTGATGTTGTGATAAGCAGTTCAGTGTGTATTGCTTAGCCTGTATACGATAGAGCCTGTATCAAACCAGTGATTGATATCATGAGCAATGTCCCATGCCAGGGTATGATGACATGCAATGAACCAAGAGTCAAGCTGGTTGAACTGCAGTTGTGTTGCCATGGAAACAGCTGGGGTATCCCAGTTTGTATCCATCATGAATACAACACTGTTCCTGCAGGCTTGAAGTGTGCTCACAAACTTGACCAGTCACATGTGGAATACTCCCCAGCCCTGATGAACCTCATCTTACTCAAACCTTCAAAGTTGGTATCAAATGAGTTTCTTGATAAACACAAAGCATGATGTTGCAACTTCATGGAATAACTAAAAGCATCTGCTCACTAACAGGGTTAAATATATTTTTCTGTGAGATTGAACAGTCATGTAGCAGGTTTATTGACATTCTCAATTCCACCATGCCTTTGTAAACTTCCCAAGCCATGTAATACTGCTCCATGACAACTTCTAACCCAGGTCAAAAATCAATCTAAATCTGGCAATAACTGATTACATGGGATCCAAACTCTAAACATTTAGAGTTTCTACCATATGGTTATTTTAAAATTGCCAAAACCAATGAAAATTCGACTCAATCGATCTCTCAGTTTCTATTAAGCAGTGAAGATGGAGTGGACTTATGGACTACAAGTCCTTAATAAGCATTTGAAGTTGGAAGAACTCTGAAGTAGCCCTGAAATGTCCTAACAAAGAATAAAGAAGTTGCTATCCATAAAAAGTGTCTTGTATTTATGGACTACTATATACAAAGATGACAACCCAAAACTGACGCAATTTGGGTAAAAAAAAAAGTGCTTTGAACAAATTACAATTTTCATTGTAAGCTTGACAGAATGTATGGCCATGATAAAAACCAATCATCAAAGTGATCACCAACACTTCTCAAAATCAAATTTGTAAAAAAGGTAATTATTACATGATTAATAATTGATTGCATATGTGACAATGCCTGTAGCAAGATCAATACTTATCTATATTATTGGCAATGTTCCTTTGAAAGAAAAATGTAATATAGTTTTCTTCATTGTATTGACAGAATTTGGTTTGAAATGTCGTAATGACGCCTCCACAATAGTTATGGTTGACATGTCTGTTATTAGGAATCAGCGCCAGTGTGGTCTGTGATGTCTCCAGACCAACTAGCTGACAGAAGGGGCTACCACAACAACAATAAAACACTACAACTTACTGAGAATATCAGTCTCATCTATGATCTCTGATTGGATGATTTCCTCGATGACGTCCTCCAAGGTCACGACCCCAAGAATCTGATACCAAGGGTCGACATCTCCCTCGTTGCGTAGGTACTGTACTATGGCCATATGGGAGTTTCCTGCAAGACATGAACACGTGTTAGAGTTGTACAGACAGTGAGTGAGTGAGTGAGTATGGTTTTACGCCTCTTTTAGCAATATTCCAGCAATATCACGGCGGGGGACACCAGAAATGGGCTTCACACATTGTACCCATGTCGGGAATCGAACCTGGGTCTTCGGCATGACGAGTGAAGGCTTTAACCACTAGGCTACCCGACCGCCCCTTGTACAGACAGAGGTATTTAAAGTAGAACATTTATATTTTTCCCTACACCACACACTAAATCATACCCTTGTTTGTCACCTGTCACGATAATAAAGTTGCCCTATACGTACATGTAGCCTTCCACACTTTAGATGCTAGTCCGAAACACAAGAAAAAATATTTTTCACTCCAACAAACTTTATAGTAATTGTAGCAGCCCAAACATATCTTAGTCACATGATGGGATTCAAACCACAGACCTTCTGATGTGTCAAACACTTTGTCTGCATGACCAAAGACGTTAATCCTGCCAGCAAGCTACACCCTGCTACGCTGACAAGGTAAGGATGTCATCTGTGGGAGGACTCCACACCCTGCTACATTGACAAGGTAAGGATGTCATCTGTGGGAGGACTCCACACCCTTTTACACTGACAAGGTAAGGATGTCATCTGTGGGAGGACTCCACACCCTTTTACACTGACAAGGTAAGGATGTCATCTGTGGGATGACTCCATGCCCTGTTACACTGACAAGGTAAGGATGTCATCTGTGGGAGGACTCCACACCCTTTTACACTGACAAGGTAAGGATGTCATCTGTGGGATGACTCCACACCCTACTACACTGACAAGGTAAGGATGTCATCTGTGGGAGGACTCCACACCCTGCTACACTGACAAGGTAAGGATGTCATCTGTGGGAGGACTCCATGCCCTGTTACACTGACAAGGTAAGGATGTCATCTGTGGGAGGACTCCACACCCTGCTACATTGACAAGGTAAGGATGTCATCTGTGGGAGGACGCCACATCCTGCTACACTGACAAGGTAAGGATGTCATCTGTGGGAGGACTCCACACCCTTTTACACTGACAAGGTAAGGATGTCATCTGTGGGATGACTCCACGCCTTGCTACACTGACAAGGTAAGGATGTCATCTGTGGGATGACTCCACACCCTGCTACACTGACAAGGTAAGGATGTCATCTGTGGGATGACTCCATGCCCTGTTACACTGACAAGGTAAGGATGTCATCTGTGGGAGGAATCCACACCCTGCTACACTGACAAGGTAAGGATGTCATCTGTGGGATGACTCCATGCCCTGTTACACTGACAAGGTAAGGATGTCATCTGTGGGATGACTCCACACCCTACTACATTGACAAGGTAAGGATGTCATCTGTAGGAGGACTCCACACCCTGCTACACTGACAAGGTAAGGATGTCATCTGTGGGATGACTCCACACCCTGCTACATTGACAAGGTAAGGATGTCATCTGTGGGAGGACGCCACATCCTGCTACACTGACAAGGTAAGGATGTCATCTGTGGGAGGACTCCACACCCTTTTACACTGACAAGGTAAGGATGTCATCTGTGGGATGACTCCATGCCCTGTTACACTGACAAGGTAAGGATGTCATCTGTGGGAGGAATCCACACCCTGCTACACTGACAAGGTAAGGATGTCATCTGTGGGATGACTCCATGCCCTGTTACACTGACAAGGTAAGGATGTCATCTGTGGGATGACTCCACACCCTACTACATTGACAAGGTAAGGATGTCATCTGTAGGAGGACTCCACACCCTGCTACACTGACAAGGTAAGGATGTCATCTGTGGGATGACTCCACACCCTGCTACATTGACAAGGTAAGGATGTCATCTGTGGGAGGACGCCACATCCTGCTACACTGACAAGGTAAGGATGTCATCTGTGGGAGGACTCCACACCCTTTTACACTGACAAGGTAAGGATGTCATCTGTGGGATGACTCCACGCCTTGCTACACTGACAAGGTAAGGATGTCATCTGTGGGATGACTCCACACCCTGCTACACTGACAAGGTAAGGATGTCATCTGTGGGATGACTCCATGCCCTGTTACACTGACAAGGTAAGGATGTCATCTGTGGGAGGAATCCACACCCTGCTACACTGACAAGGTAAGGATGTCATCTGTGGGATGACTCCATGCCCTGTTACACTGACAAGGTAAGGATGTCATCTGTGGGATGACTCCACACCCTACTACATTGACAAGGTAAGGATGTCATCTGTAGGAGGACTCCACACCCTGCTACACTGACAAGGTAAGGATGTCATCTGTGGGATGACTCCACACCCTGCTACATTGACAAGGTAAGGATGTCATCTGTGGGAGGACGCCACATCCTGCTACACTGACAAGGTAAGGATGTCATCTGTGGGAGGACTCCACACCCTTTTACACTGACAAGGTAAGGATGTCATCTGTGGGATGACTCCATGCCCTGTTACACTGACAAGGTAAGGATGTCATCTGTGGGAGGAATCCACACCCTGCTACACTGACAAGGTAAGGATGTCATCTGTGGGATGACTCCATGCCCTGTTACACTGACAAGGTAAGGATGTCATCTGTGGGATGACTCCACACCCTACTACATTGACAAGGTAAGGATGTCATCTGTAGGAGGACTCCACACCCTGCTACACTGACAAGGTAAGGATGTCATCTGTGGGATGACTCCACACCCTGCTACATTGACAAGGTAAGGATGTCATCTGTGGGAGGACGCCACATCCTGCTACACTGACAAGGTAAGGATGTCATCTGTGGGAGGACTCCACACCCTTTTACACTGACAAGGTAAGGATGTCATCTGTGGGATGACTCCATGCCCTGTTACACTGACAAGGTAAGGATGTCATCTGTGGGAGGAATCCACACCCTGCTACACTGACAAGGTAAGGATGTCATCTGTGGGAGGACTCCATGCCCTGTTACACTGACAAGGTAAGGATGTCATCTGTGGGATGACTCCACACCCTACTACATTGACAAGGTAAGGATGTCATCTGTAGGAGGACTCCACACCCTGCTACACTGACAAGGTAAGGATGTCATCTGTGGGATGACTCTACGCCCTGCTACACTGACAATGTAAGGATGTCATCTGTGGGAGGACTCCACACCCTGCTTATATACTGAACATAAGTGGGGGAAGGTTCAGCCTAGGCCGGAACCTCATAACAAAGAAGTTGACATCCATAAATGCTCTTCCTTAAGACCAGACTGTTTGCAGAAGGGTATATAGAGGTTATCGCGCGAGTGTGTTTGGGGATGGTAAATATCCTGCATTAGGAATAAACATTGTATTTAGCGAGCCTTGGCGAGCTAAATACATAGTGTTTATTCCTAAAACAGGATATTTACCATCCCCAAACACACAAGCGTGATAACCTCTTTATCATATAATGTCATTCTTTAATTCTGTGTTACAAAAACGCTTTCCCTCTCTCACAAACATTACCGAATCATTGCGAGTTTTCCTGGAATGAGCGCATTAATATTTATTACGTCACAGGGTAAGTGATGTGTCAGTCGGACAGTGACAGTAGCCAATAGAGTTCCAACTGAAATCTCTTTTTTATACAGTTGCGAAGCAACATATACGCAAAACAACAGTTGTTTTTAATTGCCTTTCACGGCAATCCATCGGTCTGTCTGCTAGAGTAACTGCCCTTTGTCAAAGGGAAGCTACTCTAACCCTAGTCTATGAGACGTCACGGCCACGGACAGACGTTGTTGACAGTCAGTCTGTCCTGTCATAATGTTAAGAAGAGTAGTCAGATGTACACATAGCGACAAAACGAAACAGGGTAATAATTCAAACATATTTCGGCCAAATCCAACTTATTTTAATTTGTGGAGAAAGGTTCAAGCCGCAGAGGTCTACAAGCACAGATGTGGCTACTGATCTCGCTTAGGCTAGGCCTCGTGCCCTCGCAAAATTGTGTCGAAATTTATATCTCCAAAGTTACCAAAACTTATAAAATGCCTTAGCTTCGTCACAGTTAGTCATTGATTTTCAGTATATTAGACTGTTCTTTTGATAATGATAGCAAATATCTCTCTAGTATATCCAGATTCCCGATGGTTAAATCTGACTCGATCGCAGAATGACGAGGGCGACGCCATGTTTGTTTATAAACAGTGAAAGTAGTCCCTACTTGACCTTTCATATTTGCATCTCTATCCGCATATGACCCCAACGGATATCGTTTTTATCCGTTGGCTTTATCCTGCCGAGAGACCTACCCATCATATGATAAAGCCATATACCTGGTATTCAACCATTTGAGCTAATACCGACCTGTCTGCACTAAAGCACAGCCAAAATTCTGGTCTTGAACCAGTTGAGCTAATACCGGACTATCTGAAGTTGAGCATAGCCATGTATCTGATCTGTGACCTGTTGAGGTAATAGCGGACTGTCTGCAGTAGAACATAGCCATGTATCTGGTCTGTGACCTGTTGAGATAATGGCGGACCGTCTGCAGTAGAACATAGCAATGTATCTGATCTGTGACCTGTTGAGATAACAGCGGACTGTCTGCAGTAGAACATAGCCCTGTATCTGATCTGTGACCTGTTGAGGTAATAGCGGACCGTTGGCAGTAGAACATAGCGATGTATCTGGTCTGTGACCTGTTGAGATAATGGCGGACCGTCTGCAGTAGAACATAGCCCTGTATCTGATCTGTGACCTGTTGAGGTAATAGCGGACTGTCTACAGTAGAACATAGCCATGTATCTGGTCTGTGACCTGTTAAGGTAATAGTGGACTGTCTGCAGTAGAACATAGCCCTGTATCTGATCTGTGACCTGTTGAGGTAATAGCGGACTGTCTGCAGTAGAACATAGCGATGTATCTGATCTGTGACCTGTTAAGGTAATAGTGGACTGTCTGCAGTAGAACATAGCCCTGTATCTGATCTGTGACCTGTTGAGGTAATAGCGGACCATCTGCAGTA